ACAGTAACAGTCTCACCCCTCTTTGACCCTGAATAATGGCAGAAAGCTGCATATGTTTGTAATATATTTTATCACTACATTGGTGTTTTTTACACATCCTTACATGCTGCCATTATGTTTGGAAATGGGCTCTATGAGATGAGGTTTAAAAAGTAGCCCACTGATATTTTGTTTTTGAGTGTTAAACTTAAAAAAATGCAAAAAAAAAAAAAAAAAAAAAAAAAAAGTAAATACACCTTTGCTGACTAATGTTTGTAACTTCAAACCAGTCGTTAACACACAAAGTTTGCATGAGCAACAAGCAGGATGACAGGGACACCTATTTGCATAAACTCAAATGGAAAAGAAAAACACATTTTAGAGACGCATTTCACTTTATCTTATGTTGGGCATTTTGAACTTTGGGTCACACAGAACTCATTTTCTTTTAAAATGAATTACTTCACATAATCTGATAGAAAAACTCAGCATAGGAAATACTGTCACAGACCTTACTTTACAGCCGACTGCTCAGATATGTTAATGGTTATTGGACTCAAGTGGATGAGAGCAGTTAAAGAAAGGTTAAATAAAATCTGCATATCAGTTTATAATTTCTGACGGATCAGCAACCGCCAGAATAAATGTCAGCATTGCACATTTCTGCAAATCACTGATATGACACATATGAATTACAAATCACGTCCTGTTGCATGGCAAAACATGGAAATTTGACGCCCCCCACAGCCACACCATTTCACAATTTATCACAAGACAAGACAAGACACACCCAAATTTGAAAGAAATCTGATAAAGGAATTCAAACCAGTGTGCATAAAATACATGAAAAACGCATATAATTCAAAATGTCTGACTTTCGTGTGCAGCAAATGAAACCCAAGAGAAATATGTGGAATGCACATCCCAAATTTTGTGAATATCAGAGCAACTTTGCTCCAACTGAGGTCAGACTTCCAAGCATTAGGAGGTGCTATGGAACACACATGAACTAGTTTTATGAGTTTATGTTCGGGAGGCTAAAAGTAAAAGGGTGGCGCTATAGAGCCAACATGCCACACCAAAGCCCACTTGCACCACTGAATGAAAATTATTACAAGTTATAACATTGATGCAAAGTTTTGTAGGTTTTTGTGCATCCTACAGTCCCGAAACGTGTGTCCGTAAAATGAAAATTACGGCACCCAATCAAAGATGGCTGACTTCCTGTTGGGTGAAAAAAAATGCAATTCAATTCATTTATTGTTATTCTTTAAGAGCAATGATCCACTCAAGTTATCTGAACATCACATAAACTAGATCCCATGCTGGCATGTGTTTGGGGCACTTTAGAGTCCTCTGGCCACACCTGAGCCCAGTCACTGCAGAACTTTGCATTTTTGCTACGTCTTACATGCACGCCGATTTTCATGAGCTTTCAAGCATCCTAAAGGCGCTGACACACCAAGCCAACAGTCAGCTGTCGGTCAGTTTTGGGCTGTCGGTGAGTGTCCGCCCTAGTCATCCCAGCGTGTCCCGCACTGTTGGCCCCTGTCGGCTTTTTTTTTTTTTGTGGCAGATCCAGCATGGTGAATCCGTGATAGTGTTGGCAGAGCCTGTCGGTAAATGAAATCACGCTGATTGACAGTTCAGCTCAGCGCACAAGAAGAGAAACAGACGTGAAGAGAGTAAACAAACAGCTAAACTCAAGAGGAAGTGGGATCAAACTAACTTGTTACGTAAGATGTGATTATTTTCCTTTAGCCATTGAGCTATGGTTTAAGTTATTATTCACTGGTGCATGGCACTGGATTGTGTTGTTAATGTGCTTACTGGCTAACTAGCATCAAGACGGTCTTCTGGTGTCCCTTTTTAAATGATGATTACAGACCACTGCTGTCTGCAGAACGTAGGCGCTGGTTGGCCATCAGCTGTAGTCTTTGCGGCGTGCTCTTGTGCAACCTTTTTGCCGAGACACAGCAACGTCTGGTGACGCAGCAGGGGGCTTTCGTTACAGCTAGTTTTCTGAAGCTGTTTGGTGAGTCTGCTCCTTAAGTCCCTAATAATAAAAATCTGCACAAACACAATAGGTTCCTCGTTCTGAATGCCAGGAACCGTTGGGCCATTGTGCTTTGGTGCTTGGGCTCTAATTATCTATCAAAGAGTGTCAGGTATAGTGTGTACAAAGCACCGGTCTGACAATGCCTATATATGAAAACCAGTTCCATGAGGTGCTTTGCATCCAAGGAGGCTTAAGTTCTCACCACTATTATGACAACAAACCAGGAAAAGGACAATGCTTAAACGACCCACGTCTGCTTGATCCTCACTACTAGATGAAGACATGCTAAAATTCAACTAAAGCATTAGTGTAAAACATTTAATATTTTAAAGAGCTGAGCGCACAAATCCCCTGTTTGTGGTTTGATCAGATAACATGTGGCCTCTCAACAACTGCCATTTCATTCTGACATCTCCTATGCAACATAACAAAGACTCTATAAGAAGCTGTGAAGAAGATTTCTGGGACCTTTAAACGTTTTACTGAATTTAAAACAAAATATTTATTTGTATTAACATTACTGCAGGATGCACACTGAACCTGACTCAATTTAAATTTCTAAACTATTAATTACAAAACAATAAGCAGCTAAGAACTGAAAGAAGTAAAATATATAGCCTAATATACAGTATGTGAAATTAATAATATAGGCAAGGTGCGGCAGGTTTATCTATAGAGCACATGTCTTACACAGAGGGGAGCCAAGGTGCTTTACATAAAAAAATATGTTTGAAATATCACAACAAAATAAAAATGAAATGAATCCCAAATAAAGTCACACACTCAAAACTCATTTTTTTTTACAACATGTGATGTCAAATTCAGGCAGAGCTTTTGTGGTTTTAAAGCTCTGCCACCTCTTCTTGACACACACCTGTGGGTATTGATGCCAAGCCTCTGCAGCACTTCCTTGTTACGTGCTGCTCATCAGCTCATTTCATTGTTGACAATTCACGCGTTCATCAGCTGCAAGGTGTTTTGTTTTGTTGTTTTCTTGCCTCACCAGCCTGATTTTTTTTTTTTTTTTTAAATCTCTTGTCAGGTAAGAGAAATATGAAATCTATATTACACATTTAAACTGATGGTAATTTGATGTCTTATAATTAGCCAGAACACGAGAGAACAAGAACACCCTTTTAATGTATGATAGTTCAAAGGCAAAGAGGCGACATAAGAGTGGGATTGTACTTTTTAATGTGTTTCTAGGCTCAGTTATTGCCTGAGTAAAGTTAATATGATGGCTGTAATGCTCACAGCACCCATTATTAAATTTTCTCCCTCTTGTCTCACACTGTCCTGAATGTAACCTGTTGAACGAGTTAAGCTGTACGTGAGGTTTTGCTTCAAGTGGAGCAGCAGGGAAGAAAAATGTTTACAAAATGTCGTCAGGTTTATTGAACTGTGTTCCTGTATCTTCTTTTTTATGACTTGTTTGTTACATAAGCTATGAAAGAGGTCAGTCATTGCATCAGTGACAGCAGTTGAATTTTGCATCGGTGTAGACCGGTGCCTCTTCTGTCCCATCATAACCAATCATATCTGTGTTTTAGCTTTGACTGATGCTTCCACTAAATTAAAGAACACACATTACGGGAGGTTGACTTTAATTTTGTATTTCTTTCCAAAGAGATCATGAGTCTGTCTAGCAACTAACTCAAATCATCCCCTGTTAGCTAATGGCACCTGCTGTTAGCGAGTAGTGCTGCAGGCTACATGTACTTGATTAATAACTAACCAACCTTCAAAGAACATTTTCAGGCGGGCTAACATTCGACAGCTCCAAAATGTTTCCTATTATTGACCTAAGGTGGTGCCATCACCAAATTGTTACAGATCTTGTCACTTAAAGGGGAACTTATTTTTCCTTTGGTCTCAGACAGTCCAAAGATATTAATAAACATGAAAATCTGTCCCCCATATCATAAAAGCTAGAGTGCATAAACTCGTATCTGTGATGTCATCAAGTGTCAAGTCCAGCGCTGCTCCACAGATAGCAGTGAAAGATGTTCTAGACGACACTGAAAGCACTCAGGGGAGTGTTCTGAGTATATCGGAACATTTTCAGTTTCCGATCTGAGAACACTACAATACAATAAAGCTCATTTGGGTACAAAAAAGAAAACAAACATTCTGTGGGTCCACAAAATCAGGCAGCTCCCAACATTATACCCTGTGACATCACAAGTTTGAGATTTACGTCTCTGGTTCCTGGCTTTGAGAGAGGGTAGCTCATGTTCACAAATCTTGATTGAACTTTCTTGGCCATGGAAATTACATCTGTGGATTCTTAATTAAGGTGGTGTTCCCCTTTAATATCATCAATATATTGCTGCAGGGATGATGTTTATTTGTAGGTTGAAGCAGAAGTTAGCGTCACCCCGGTTCCCTCGTCAAAAGCCTGTGGGTTAGGTTTAAGCTGTTTGCAAACAAAAGTTTATGATACTTGCACATTTTGTTGAGTGACCACTTTTATGATTTTTGAAACATAAATGCAATCACCAGACTTTAAACACTAACTAAGCCACAAGCAAACTACATCATGGTCACGTGACTTGACGTCGCCAACACAACAAGGCTGTAAAGCCGTGGTCAGTGTTATGGCGTTCTCATTAAACCACTTGTTAGCAAAGGGTCCATGTCATTGGTCTGACAGCCCATTAGTCCGAGAGCCCATTAGTCCGAGAGCCCATTAGTCCGACAGCCCATTAGTCCGATGGTCCGCGGTGCTGAATGGCTCCCGGCGGACGTATTTCTGCCTTGATGGTGCGCCGCGACCGGCTCTGGGTCAGCTGGGAAAGGCTTGAGGCAAAGCAGGCTCACGGCTTATGTGTTTGTCACTTTCTTTTTCATTTTAACCCACACCATGATCTTTTCCTGACCCTAACCAAGTGGTTTTTGTGCCTAAACCTAACCAGACCTTCACCACAGGGCATCATGATGATTTCGGAACGGACTTCGGAACAATGGGTTCAATATGGTCGGAACAATGGGCTGTCGAACCAATGGGCTGTCGAACCAATGGGCTGTCAGACCAATGGGCAGTTCCAGTTAGCAAGACATCTAACGGCGCACCAGGCTCAGCAAAGACGAGAGTATCCGGTCAGTTTTCACAATAAAACACCCATGAAAACTCCAGATTGTATTTCACATGACTACATCAACATGATGTGACATGTAACTACCATGAGCCAAATGAGACAGAAAAATTTTCCAGAGTTACTTCAATGGTGCTGTGTGGTGTCGTGCAGGCTCAGAGTTGTCTTAAATACAGCCACACAATTCTCTACTGATGTTTTCGGTTGGTGCGCCGCTTTAGGTGGTCCGACCAGCAACCCGTTGAGACGATTTAGTTCCGCGTTCCACGTTGCCCCTCCGACTCTTCGGCGGGGGGGCCACAGAGGGCCAAACCGCCATTGCCAGCCAGAATATTAATCAGAGCGATTTCGATCTCGTTATATTGCAGTCTGATCAGTGATAACGGGTGAGACTTTGGTCTGACCCTGCTCAGTTTGGCAGTGTATCATAATGTTACCTTGGACCAAAGTTGGACTCAAGACAGAGCCATAGTCTGTTTGGAGACCAGAAACACAGCACATATTTGGATAAAAGAAACATCATTCAACATCATGTAATGTGTGTTTTCTTGTCAAGTGGAAGTAGTTTTCAGTCAAAGGTCAAACAACACAGATAAGATGAGTTTTTATGGGACTCGCCATTCCCACACCAGCCTGGCACCAAAGCAAAGTTTAAGAGCTGCCACTGATGTAATAACAATAACTTGGTTTATTAGTTTACACGTTTACACCCATAGAGACACTATTCTTTGTTCAAATTACATTTAAATACCGTGAGACATGAATATGTCCACAGTACAGTAAAGTCATCGAACACAGCAGTTAATATGCTGCTTTAATTAGTTTATTGAATAATATTTTTATCAGTTTTATCGTTATTTTTAATATCACTCTATCAGAGTCACACAGATGTCTCTTGAATATTATTTATTGTATAGACAATATAAATTTCTCTTGAAGCTCTCTAAATGCCCACAGCTGTAACTCAATGCTCTATGAAAAACCAAGTTGCCAGCCAGGCTGTAGATCAGAAAATATTTTGAGCTTTGTGTTGGTTTACTTTCCTTTGTGTCATCCTCTGTTATTGCCCTGCATGAGGACACCTGTGAACAACAGGTGTGCCTGCTGAGATGAGACAGTGTGGGAATTTACACCACTAAATGTCAGATGTGTCTCTATCATAGATAACAGAGGGCATAAACAGCAGCCAGTCTCTTCCTCTGGCATATTCACACACATGTATGACGTGTCTCACCTGTGTGCTTCATCACATTTTGTATCCACAGATCGACTCTGAGATCACGCTGCTGAGATGCTTTCAAAATTGGGAAAAATCAGAATAGTTATAGCCATACTGTGCATCGCTGCCGTTGGGCTGTTGTCTAGATATTCATGGGATTTATCTACATTTTCCCTCGGCCTGCTGAACTCAAGTGTTTGTGCCTGTAGCAAATGTTTACTAGAGGGTGATCCGTGGTTTAGGGAGCAGATCAAGTCATCTCCTCAGCCCTTGTTGTCAAAAACATATTCAACCCCAGAGGACGATTTCAATTGGTGGAAGGTAAATGTCAACTTTTCTTTACGTATACACAGCACAAATGTTCTGCTTCTGTTTCACGGTTAATCGTTTCAGACACATTTTTGCACATTCCCTTTCTAAAAGAGGAAGAATCAGGGCTTTAACCAGAGGAGGAACCTGTGTGGTGTCAGTGGTGTTCTCTGTCAGCAAAAACAAAACGACATTTGACACAGGGGGACATTAAAAAGCAGTAAAAATCAATTTCAGCAACTGATTGTTATTGCCATTCTTGATTGTCATTATTTTCTCAATTAATTGATTAGTTGATTAGAGTTTTGACTTGTTTTGATGAAATCACTCAAACCCATTCATTGCTTATCAAATTAGTTTATTGCTGAGTGAAACTTGACTTCGCCCTTTGGGCCATCTGTTGGCTGTATGTATGCCAACATAAGGGACGCATGGAAGTATGAGGGCAGTGACGTTTACAGTGTTTGAAATGGATGTATCTCTTTTCGTATGTAAATGGAGAATAAAGTAGCCTTGATGTAACCCTCATGTCAATGGACTATCAACTGACAGAAAAAAAAAAGATTAGTAGTACTTTAGGAAGGTTACGATAATTTGCATATTGCGTAAAACCAAAATATATACTTGTCCATAACACAAATTGCAACTTTTATTCCAAGTACAATTCACATTAGTATTTAGAAGCTTATTTACCATGATTTGATTCTAGTATCCTTTAAGGGATATCCAACTGTTGCGTCGTCTACGTCGCCTCACGTTGCCCTGTGTCAGTTGCATTTGAACACACTACATGGACTATATCCGACGGCCAAGTAGCACGTACGTTCTGCGCCTGTGTGAGAGAGAGCGGAGTGAGAGAGTGGTACATCCTGTCAGCCGACGGGTTTCCTATCTGTGCAGCCGAGCACCGCAGCACCTCCACGGACTATTACATCCAGACGGTCCCGGTGTTTCCTCCACAGGCTCCACTTCACTCAGCTGCCCGATAAACCCGCTGCTTCTTCCCACTTTAACCTGAATCACAAACCAGGGCTCGGTGCTCCGGTTGGATCCAAACGGAGAGCCGGAGCTAGCTCAGTGCTTCCCTCCAGTCATGCTGCGGCTAACGCTATGCTAGCTGCTCCCAGCTAGCTCTGGTTTGTTATTCAGGTTAAAGTGGGAAGAAGCAGCGGGTCTGTGGGGCAGCTGAGTGAAGTGGAGCCTGAGGAGGAAGCACCGGTTAGCCCCGGTTTCACTGCAGGCAGATTCACTTGCTACGGCGCGAGGTAATAAAACCTGAACAGCCAATCAGAGTCACCTCTCTCATCGACAAGCTCCGCCACCGATTCAACATGCTCAATCAGCCGAAAAGCTGCCAACGCCAAAGTGCAGACGGTGCAGGACACACCGCAAAAACTAGGGCGACAGGCGCTCACCGATGGCCCGACTTTGGTCGATGGCCGACCGTCGGCTTGGTGTGTCAGGGCCTTAAGAGTTCAGTAATTACAAATAAACATAATTTGTGTTGTATTTGTGTGCTGAAACCAACAATGAACCCAATATAAAAAACTGAAATAAACCCACAGTCAATCAAACTTCTTTTGATACGAAAGTAGTAAAAGACTTTGGTGTTCGTATGACATCCTGTCAAAATAAAGGTTGAATAAATGTAATTAAAATTTAGATTTTTCCATCTCTACATAATGTTAAAGGAATGGTGCTCAGCAAAGGTAAAACCTTTTTGGAGTAGATTTTCCAGAGTGTTGGACGTCTACAGCAGCAGATGGCGTTCTCCTTGAAGTGATTAATTGAATTTCATTGTCATAAAACTTTTGAATATCATGTTATCTTAGAAAGTGTTTTGGAATGTCGACAAAGCATAGGAGGAAGTCTGTGTCTGTGCTTCTACCAACCCTGAGATAGTTTGCGGTGCTTAAAACCCATGGCAAATATCAATTCATTAATCAGTTCCATGTTTTCAAACTGCATTGGTAGAATTGAGTTCTTCTGACTGAGGCCCTCTAGGACATCAGTACACTGATACTTTTTTAAAACCACTACTGCAAACAGAAACAGTTAACAATGATATGAAGTCATCAGGAACAAATCGACTGACAACTTCCTAAAACCTGAACCTGTGAAATGAGCATTACTTCCTGCAATTTTCAAAACCGTCACTGTTAAAAAAAAAGAGCCAACTATTGTACTTCCTGTGAGTGCTTCACAATAAAAGCAACCTATGTTTTACTTTTCAATGCTTTCAATATGAAGCTGCAGCAGAACCGCTAAATAGAGGGGTTGATTAAAGAATGAAAATACATTGAATTTCTTTCAGTAAAGAAATGTAAATTATGAATAGTGTCAAAAATAGGTTTAACTGGACAACTGGCATGTGATTAAATTGTAAACGGGTCCATGTCATTGGTTCAACAGCCCATTAGTCCGACTGTCCGCGGTGCTGAACGGCTCGCCGGTCGCGGCGCACCATACGCCCGCCGCGACCGGCTTGAGGCGGAGCAGGCTCACGGCTTATGTGTTTGTCACTTTCTTTTTCATTTTAACCCACACCATGATCTTTTCCTAACCCTAACCAAGTGGTTTTTGTGCCTAAACCTAACCAGACCTTAACCACAGGGCATCATGATGATTTCGGAACGGACTTTGGAACAATGGGTTTAATATGGTCGGAACAATGGGATGTTGAACCAATGGGCTGTCGAACTAATGGGCAGTTCCCATTGTAAACTGCTGCTGGAATAACGTTCTTTTTCTGTTATGTGTGTCAGCGCTTACAGGGGGAAATGCGCAACTTCACTTTCTACAAAACAACAGTGGACAACCTGTTTAAGATCTTCCCACCCGTTCCAGATGTTGTAGAATTCAGCCCTGACCGCTGCAGGACTTGTGCTGTGGTGGGGAACTCTGTTAATTTGAAGAGATCACACTATGGACCTCTCATAGATATACATGATACTGTAATAAGGTAAATCATAACTGACATCTTTAAGAAATTTGAACAATGATGTTGACACAAAGACAAATTCTGAACTTTTTATCTTTGGAGTTTAACAAAAACTGAGTAATGTCATTCGCCATACGGTGGGGGATGAAAAATGTTTTGAATCAGGATTTCCATGTAATGTGAACACCAATCACCACATCATTGTTCTTTAACTTCATGATATTAAATACATGTATTCCCTTGTATCTTTCAGAATGAACCATGGCCGTACTAAAGGCTATGAAACGGATGTTGGCACTAAAACAACTCATCATGTGATGTACCCAGAGAGTGCTGTTAGTTTGGACAACACTACTCATCTTGTGCTGTTTCCATTCAAGATAAAGGATCTGCTGTGGCTCCTCAAGAAATTCGATTCAGGGTGGGTGTGCACAATGAGCAGCTACACCTTTAATCAGATCTTTGATTGACTGAAAAAAATGCATTGAATGTATTTGATGACTAGGAGACATCTATGAGGAAGTGATGTAGTTAACTTGGGGAAACGTTAAAAAAAGGAAGCTCAGCTGTTTGTCTGTCCTCAGACTCGCTAACAGAGAGCAAATTCCAAAGAGCTACGAGAGAGAGATCATTGATGTGAGGCAGTTACAATGACCTCTGGACTTCCCAGCTCTTGAATTACCCTGTTGTGCTATCATATTAAGAAGATTTACATGATATCACCTTACCTTACGTAAATATGGTGAACATTTTAGTACACAGTTGCTTCCTCATAGAGACAGAGCAACATTAGCATTAATGTGCTCCTCCCTAACTGACCTGAGATGCCCTAACGACCTGCAGCCTCAGCTCATATTGTAACAGTAGCTTGACTGTCATTTGAGAGAACATGTTAGTAATTCGGGACACAGCCAGACACACACTTGAAACACATAGCTTCATAGTTTAAACCATCAGGGAGTAGGTGGATTATGATACAATGGGCCCCTGGGCTTGGACGCATAAAAGGCTCCTCTCAGCACGGCTTGTATAGCATGCTGTTATGTTTCCCCACAGAGTTAAAGGGCACATATTACGCACAGTACTCAGCCCATCTAAAGGGGACAGAAACACTCACTTAAAATGTAGCATGATGTTTTTTCCTTGCATCTTCAAAGTCAACACATTCTCACTCCGACCTCGTCACATATCGACGTTTGGTTGTTCTGCCTGTTACATGCATTGACTGTTTTCAAAATACAGTCTGTCTTTACTTTGACAACAAACGCACGTGGTTAGGTTTAGGAAAAAAGAACAGGATTAGGCTTTAGAATCTTGTGGGACACAAACACAGCTCTCTTGGGTAAAAGGAATTGTTTGTTAGACCCATCCACCACCTGTCCCAGTTGGACTTTCGCCGCCTGAACTTTCGTCCCCCTTTCCCCTGATGCCACCAGGTGCTGTTTAACTATAACGGCAACCAGCTGTGTGTCATGCCGACGTAAAGGATGCCCTTTTCATTAGTTTCTGATGCAGCAAGTCACTGCGCAAGCACTGGATTTTGATGACTTTGGAGTGAGACTGGGCTCTCAAAGTTAATTTTTTGGTTTTAATGATTCGGCTATTCCTTCAGTTTTTCTTTTTTTAAGGTATTTTTAAGAAGGGGCTGTATTATCAACAAGCCCTCTGACAAGACATGCAAAGTTAATAAAAGTCATTTAATGCAGAGGCTCTGGTCCAGGGACCTCCTGAGTCCTTGGGCTCCTGGGCCTGGTAGGACCGTTCAACCTTGTCTCACTCTGAAGTTGCCAAAAAACAGCACCTAGTCAGTGACTTCCGGCATCAGACACAGAGTAAAAAAGCCATCCTTTCACATCGGCATGATACACGGCTGGTCACCTTTATTATTAACAGCGCCAGGCGGCATAGGGGAAAACATGGTGGGACAACAAGAAAGTTAAGGCAGTGAAAGTACGAGTGAGGCGGGTGGGAGGGGCGGTAGATGGGTCCAACAACCACTGACTTTCGCCTAGGAGGCAGGTGTTCACCTCCGGTTAAGACTGTAAAACCAAACCCTGTTCTTTTTTCCTAAACTCAACAATGGGCATGTGTTGGCTAAACATGACCGTGTGCATTTGTTCTTAAGGTGCAGACACACCAAACCGACATCAAAGAACTAGCAGCGACGAAAGCCAACTGTTGCGTCGTCTACGTCGCCTCACGTCGCCTTGTGTCAGTTGTATTTGAACACACTACACGGACTACATCCAGCAGCCAAGTAGCACGTACGCTCTGTGCCTGTGTGAGAGAGAGCGGAGTGAGAGAGTGGTACATCCTGTCAGGCGAGGGGTTTCCTATCTGTGCAGCCGAGCACCACAGCACCTCCACGGACTATTACATCCAGACGGTCCCGGTGTTTCCTCCGCAGGCTCCACTTCACTCAGCTGCCCGATAAACCCGCTGCTTCTTCCCACTTTAACCTGAATAACAAACCAGGGCTCGGTGCTCCGGTTGGATCCAAACTGAGAGCCGGGGCTAGCTCAGAGACTAGCGGAGGCTAACTGGCTGTGTTTCCCTCTGGTCATGTTGTGGCTAATGCTCCGCTAGCCGCTCCCAGCTAGCTACGGTTTGTTATTCAGGTTAAAGTGGGAAGAAGCAGCAGGTCTGTCAGGCAGCTGAGTGAAGTGGAGCCTGAGGAGGAAGCACCGGTTAGCCCCGGTTTCACTGCAGGCAGATTCACTCGTTACAGGGGTGAGGGAATAAAACCTGAACAGCCAATTAGAGTGATCTCTCTCACTGACAAGCTCCACCGCCGATTCAACATGCTCAATTGGCCAAAAAGCTGCCGACGCCGAAGTGCCAACGGTGCGGGACACACCGCAAAAACTAGGCCGACAGATGCTCACCTACGGCCCGACTTTGGTCGATGGCCAACCGTCAGCTTGGTGTGTCAGGGCCTTTAAAGAAAACCCCCCCCACCAATTTACGGTGTTGTGTTGACCTAGTGCTTTTATTTTGAAAGAGACTGTATGCAAACTGTACATTTCCTGTGAAAACAGAAGTGTATTTTGAAAACAGACAGTGCATGTAATCAGCTGAAGTTGATGCGGCGTCCCAGAACGTCAACAACCAATGCACCAAGGGTACCTTGCATGTCTTACGTCCATGACCACACGTGGATATGTGACGAGGTCGGAGTGAGAATATGTTGGCCTCTTTGGTAATTCGTCCATGCATGTAGGAACTAGATAACAATGAACACAGACTTTACTGACACATGAGGTGAGTAGACATGTACAAAGGCAGCTTGATCTCATTATTATAAGTTTTGCAATGACCTGATTGAACTGAACATGTGTGTTGCATAATTTTTACCAAACAATACTGGTTAATCAGTTCATTTTCTACCAAATGTAATGTTGCCTTCAACAGGGAAAAAAATGCTGGGAACAGGATAGCTAACAAGGATTTGGTGAGTGTTTTAAATGACTTTGCATGACGCTGACATATTTAATACATAATCCATTAATACATTGTGTTGTACAGTGCAATGAGTGCAGAGAGGACTGGTTTATGAATGTCAGTATAAAGGCCGAATCTGATTTACAACAGGTGATAATCCTCAATCCAGCTTTCATGAGATATGTTCATGAAACTTGGCTGTTGAAGAAGGGCAGGTATCCATCCACTGGCTTTATGACTGTGGTTCTCAGCCTGCAGATTTGTGATGAGGTGAGTTCAAAGTACACAAGATACCCATAATGTCATGCTGTTTCACTGACTGACAGCTGGTGGCAGCAGTGCATCGAGAAACAATGATGCACCAGTAATGGGAAGGGAGAAGAAGACTGCTAGATTAATGCAAGTTTTAAAATGTTCAAAAAATCATCAAATTAATACAAATATATCATGAGAAATGTGTTTGTGTTGATCACAGTAGCAATAATTTGTAGATGAGCTTAGATAGTTTAGATGGTGGTGCAGGAATGGGACCTAAAATCCAGACATGAGTTTGATTTCAGCACTCCTGGTTCCCTCCTCTTGTAATCAATGGGTTTTTGATTGGATGCCTGAAAAAAGGTTTTTACATTTGTTCTTTGTTTGGAGGCTTTCACATGTCTTAAAAAGGTTGTTGCTAACTCGTGCCGAAATGAGACGACACCACAGGCGTTTTCAGGATAGGGGTGGATGGACAGGGGTCATTCGGCCAGGTTCAGTCTCTCAGTAACCAGCAAAACATTTAAAACTGTATAATAACACTATAACACACAGTCCAATGATTGAACACTCTGATTGTGTTTCACTAGATGGCAGGAAAGTCCTGAGCTACCAGTTTCAGATGCCTGTCATCAGTGTTTGCCCGGCTAAAGAGGGTTGTAGTGGTGCAGCCTCCCACTCATACCTGTTGCTTTTGTTCAGCCACCTTATTGTGATCTTTTCAATCAGCATTTCCACCACGCGTGACTGAAAATGTACCCCTGCAGCGTGACCAGAATGCAGCACTTTTGTTGGCAGGTGCCTAATGAAGGGAGATGATCTTTACGTAAGACTGACTTTATCTTCAGCATAATGCCTAACTGTCAGAGCACTGACGGTTCTTTCAGGAAGTGTTGCAAGCATCATAGCAACACTCCTGACAATGACACATGGATTGACGAACAAATCAGTGTTCGTATTATTCGTATTATTTATTTGCACAGTATTAAAACAATTGGTTTTAAAAACAACAACAACAAAAAGTTTGTGTTTGTTTTGGGTCAGGTGATAATGAGTGTGAGAGAACATGTTAGATGTTTGTGTGAGCGCTGAAAACAAGTGTGAGCTTATATTTTAGTTGTGTTGTAGATTGGGACTTACTATATAATGACAAAAACTCTGTGTGTGTGTCTGTTCCACGTTTTTCTCCTCACTGACTTGGTCAATCCATGTGAAATTTGGCACAGTGGTAGAGGGTCATGGGAGGATGCCAATGAAGCAATATTACATCAATTGGCCAAAGGGGGGCGCTATAGCAACCGATTGAAATGTCAAACTTTGAATGGGCATATCTGATGCCCCGTACGTCGTAGAGACATGAAACTTTGCACAGAGATGCCTCTCCTCATGAGGAACACATTTGCCTCAAGAACCCATAACTTCCGCTTATATAGATTTTCCGCCATTTTGAATTTTTTGAAAAACACTTCAAATGGATCTCTTCCTAGGAAGTTTGAGCGATCTGCATGAAACTGGGTGAACATAATCTAGGGACCAATATCTAAAGTTCCCTCTTGGCAAAAGTTGGAAAACTTACTAAAACTGAGCTTCTATAAGGCAATGAATATTGCGGAGGGCGTGGCTCATCACATAAAGGTGTATAACATCTCAAGGGTTTCACCCATCACCACGCAACTTTGTAGGCATATGACCACACATAATCTGAGGGGACCCCTCCATTATTGACCCCATCAAACAAAATGGGGGCGCTAGAGAGCTCATTTCTTATCTAGGCCTAACCGCCATATGGATTTTACTAAACTTGGTAGATATGTAGAACAGGACGCCTCAAGGTGACTGGAGAAATTTAACTCTAATTGGCAAGTGGGTGGCGCTATAACAGCAGAAAAAAACCCAGACTCCAAATCAGAGAATCCTGGACACACCAGGACATCTGGTCACTGCAGTCCAACAGAATGAAAAGCATGTAAATATGATGATTTGCTACGTTTCTAATTTCTGTTTCCTGTCTTTATGCTAAGCTAAGCTAAGCTAACTGTCTCCTGGTTCCAGCTTCATTTACCATACTGACATGAGAGCAATATCGATCTTCTTATCTTAACTCTTAGCAAGAAAGAGAACACGGATAGATTTTCCAAAATGCCTAAGTATTCATTTAAGGTTTAGGACAACAAATTGTTCAAAAGGCTAATTACTAACAGTGGAGTGCATGAATGAAAATGAAAATGAAAATTCATGAATTATTTATTAGAAATAGCAAATTTAAAAAGTTTCCTGTCAACAGTACTTTAAGTTGAATCCTGCTGAGCTTGATGGTATCATTTTTGTTTTCCCAGGTCAGCGTTTTTGGGTTTGGAGCAGACAGTGACGGAAACTGGAGCCATTATTTTGAAATCCTCACAAACAAAAGGCTGAGAACTGGACCTCACGCAGGAGCACGTGAATATGAAGTTATTCAGCAACTATACCAGAAGAAGAAAATCCGTTTTTTTAAAGGATCCTAAAATCCATTTTTGTTTCTGTCTTTGTCAACTGCACTAACACAAACAGAACTGAGCATTGGAAAAAGTCGTTTGCAGTTGATCTGGCCTTTCATTAGTCATATTTATTAAGCATCTAAATGTGTTTACATTCAAGTCATTTTGTGAACTTCAGTTTTGGTTTCATAGAATCACGTCCTATTGTTCAATCTGTTTTTTCGTCCACCATTTCACATACTCCACTGTCTAACATATGGAAAATAGCCAAACCATCCATCATGTCTATAAATAGGTGCAATATCCGAGCCCTATATTAACACTGATAAAAACACAAAGCAATAAAACATATCATCATTTATCAGTATGGCTTCCTAGTGGCTCTTCTCACACTTATTTCCTTAGTTTGGCTCAATCATATAGTTGTAGCCGCTTATTCTTCACAAGGTCATGCAGGTGCTGGAGCCGACCCCAGCTGACAAAACGCAGGGACTTGAGTCAACTATTAACCTACGCTGCATGTCTTTGGACCGTGGGAGGAAGCCGGAGAACTCAGGGAAAACCCACGCTGACACAGAGAGAACATGAAAACTCCAAAAGAACCCCAGCCGGCCTCTGGATCTGAACCCAGAACCCTCTTGCTTTGAGTTTTAACCCCAAAAGCCAGGCAGTATAGTTATTACTGTAATGATATCCTCAGTTGATCGTGGTGTAACATACATACTCAGACATGCTGCCTGCTCCCCTGTATATATAGTATTGCACTGTTGGTCATGAGTTTGTGTTTGTTTGTTTTTCCTCCCACATGTTTATGTTGCATTTGCCTTTTTGACTTTATGATGCATTAAATAAACAAAAAGACTTGTCATGCACAGCAGGTGTGACTGATATTACTGATAATGGCTGTGTTCCATTTGGGTGGTTCAGTATGATGACTGTTATCATGTCCAATGACATAGTGGAAACACAGCTATTGAGTTACTGCCATTAGACCCATATGTGCCTTTATTTTGTTCCAGTGTCAAGTTTGCAGGAAGAATGCTGTGAAATTAAAATCCAGGTTAAAATCAAGGTTTGCCCTGACTGTCTAAGCAAATGAGGCATTTGTTTGCCAGACCCTAACTGATATAATTGATAACACACTAATGGGACCGGTTTTGCCACTTAAGCAAAGTGTTCGCACACACTGCTTCCTCATAGGACGCTGACATGCTTTATTTAGAGAGTAAACATGTGACATTACTGGTTTCATTAAGTTGGTAAATTGATGCTTTTTGTCATTTGGCCTTATGTGACTTTAAATGTTCCTGACAGCTTTATTCAGTTAGAATGGGTTGAAAAACAGCATTACTAAATTAGTGATTAGCCATGGTGAACAGATGAGTTTTGAGGGTGGATTTGAAAATGTCCAGTGAAGGGGCATTGCGGGTTACAGGGGGGAGAGAGTTCCAGAAGGTGGTGGCAACAACGCTGAAGGCCTGGTCACCAAAAGTTCGGAGGCATGAGTGAGAGATAGAGAGTAGGCCGGTGTAGGAGGAGGAGTGCAGAGATCTGGACGGAGTGTAGGGGTGGAGGGCATGGAGGGACTCGTAGGTGAGGAGGAGGATTTTGTAGATAATGCAGGACCTGACCAGGAGCCAGTGGAGATGGATGAGGGTTGGGGTGATGTGCTGCCAGGGCTTGGTGCAGGTGAGGACCCTGGCAGCTGAGTTTTGTACATATAGGAGCCTGTTGAACCCTGAACAGGACACCACTGCAGTAGTTCAGGCAGGATGTGATGAAGGAGTGGATGAGTGTTTCTGCAACTGAGTCAGTGAGTGATGGTCGGAGTCTGGGGATGTTTTTCAGGTGGTGGAAAGCAGATTTGGTGACAAATTTGATGTGGGTCTGAAAATCAGACCCCTATCATGTTTTTCCCAATAATGCACAGATATTTAGGCATTATTTTATTTCCAATGGCTCAAAATATAGTGCATATATAGCTGCTGTCAATGGGAAAAAATTGCCCCAAGGGAGTTTGTTCAAGTGGCAACTTTCAGGCTGAAAAATGAAGCCAAAGCAGAAGTGCCAAAAACTGCAGTTCCTCTAATGGCCACTTGAGGCTGACTCCAAGAGCGAGTCAATCGTTAGAGACCCACATGCCCTGCTTTACAGCAGAAATAATCATGTTTACAGCCTGGTACCAAAAACAATTTTGGTCTCTGTAGTTAATCTCCTCCCTCATGTCAACTGTACAGAGGGGACATTTTACTCAACCACTTACATTTTATTAAAGCGTAAAGTTGCTCATATTTAAGGGCGGGGCCTGCATGGTTTCGCTACACCCTGTGAGTAAGATCCACCCCATGTTCAGCCATAGCTCCACCCTCTCGTTCAAATGTGATCACTTCTGGCTCCAAAAAACCGAGATGGCAATGGCTGAAATGTCAAACCCAAGTCTATGAGCATGTCCTCAGATGCTCCTCCAGGTTTGGGCTGAGCCCCGAATGTTTCCAACATCTGGCTCTGTCCCCGACCACTGCTGGTGGCTCACAGTCAGTTACGCTGGCAGTGGAGTGCTTGAACTGGAATCCAGCAAGCAGTCACTTTTTCAAGTTGTTATCTGAGCCCTCACCAGAGCTCAGACAGCCTGTAGAATCCAGGATGTTGACAAAGTTTCTACCCTCTACCACAGAAATGGCGGGTCATCTTCATCACCAGGATATCCGTGTTGACGGGCTGGTTGCTGTCAGCTTGGTGTGTTTCATCATGTTTGGCACAGACATGTCTCAACATGGTGTTATTGCAGAGGTCTCCCTGCAACAGATATTATTGTCAGTCATTCGCTATCTAATATATTTAAATATGATACAAATGAGAGGTGATATTGAGAGGTTATATTTTCAGACAACATAAAATGATACATAACAGATTTGATTTTACAGTTTACCACCCATTTATATTTTCTAATGAAACAAAAACCAAAACTATCTGCAGAGTTTTTGATCATAGTTCTCCACAATAAAGGGATTACAGACAGTAGCTGCACACAGCAATGCTTTGTACATATGTCCTAATATTTTAAGTTTCCCTCGACATCCAATATATCGTTCACAAAATAAATATGATTATCTAAAGGTAGAGACCAGCGTACAGATTTATTATCTGTACAAGTATGTTCATTTAGCCATCAGCAGCTGTAGCTGGGCCTCCACTCAAACTTTAGGCAGAAGAGAATTAAATGAATTTATAAACAACAGAGAAAGATTTGGGAACAAAATGTCTAAATGAAATAATGATTCACGAAAATAACAGATACATTTTTCCCACATATGGACAGACATAGCTCGGATGAAAACCAGTTACGGTTTTTATTCAGTCTTTGTACCCATGAAACTTTCAGCCTGAAGACATTTCAAACATAAACCACTTCCTGTTTATTATATAAATAACTGCGCTTAATTTGATTTAATTTATTTATTTAACCTTTATTTAACCAGGAAGTTCCACTGAGACTGAAAATCTCTTTGACAACAGAGACCTGGCCGAGGTAGCAGCCAATCAGAACACATTAAAATGCAACAGCTACAACATATAATACAGAAATCCACAATATAACAACAACTATTCAAACATGGTGGCCTCTCAAGAAAAACAAGCACGCCTCTGTCACCACATTCTTTATGATGCCCTTAAAGATATAAGGGTTTCTAATATTAAATATCTTTAAGAGAAAGATACAAGCCTGATGTCAGGATCCTGGTTTTGTTTTCTGTTTCATGTTTTCAGTCACGTTTAATCTGCTTCCTGTTTTATTTTGTAGATTCTCTCCTCATGTGTTGAGTCCAGTTTTACTTACTTACCCGCCTGTTTTCTTTCACACCTGTCTCGTTAGTCCCTCCCTGTTTCCCAGAGTCTTCCCGTCACACCTGTCCTGTATTAGTCTTGTCTGCTCCATCCTTGTTGTCAGCCAATCTCCATTTCCCTCCTTTGCCCATGTCTTCCTCCTCCAGCTGTGTCTCGTTCTTATGATTAGTTTTCTGTGTATATATACTTGTGTGTTTCCCTTTGTCAGTTTGTCTGTTTTCCTGCTGTGTTGCTGCTGTGTTCCTCCCGGGTTCATCCCTGTGTTTGTTTTTTTGTTTTGCTTTCATTGGGACTTTTCATTGCCTCCCTGCACTGAATGTTTTCGATCAGCTGCATTACAGCTCGCTTTTTGTTAAAGACTCAAGCAGTCTGTTGGACTGCATGGTCCTCCTCTCAACTGCTATGTGACACCTGATAAAAAGGCAAAAAAAAAACAACTGACTCTTAAATCTGTGTCTCCAAAGTGAGGACATCTGCTTTTACATGGAAGGAAACATCTGCATAAAAGAGAGCTTTTGATACTGTGGCTGAAAGAGCAGTCTCTCTGAACTCAGGCACAAATATCAAACCAGGTAAATTATCCCTGTAATGATACTCAATTATTTTAACAGAGGCCTGATTTTATCACTTTAAAAAACATCTGCAGCTGTTTACTCCACAGGATCTTTTGCTTGGCCATCTGCATCATGTTTCAGTAATAAAGAAATCAACCCCTCTTTTGGGAAATTAGATTGATGACCAACTTCAAAAGAGAAAAAAGATAAATGCAGACTAATAAATCCTCCTTAATTTCAGGAAAGATGTTTTTTACAGACTTTCACAGTTATTTCATCTAATCCAGGAGACTTGTCATTTTGAAAAGAACATATGGCACCGTGCTGTGAGGCAAGGTGTGGGTTGTTGCTGCGTAGGCGCTGCCGCCTGTTTTGCTCTATCAAGTTTTGAAACTACTCTTTTATAACGTGTCGTCTATGATTGTTTAGTTGGTAATCGATCCCACTCAAACTCTTAACTGTGTATCAATTGTCTGGTTGAGGATCTTATTCAAGCTGTAGATCCTGTACATAGTCAGTACGTTTACATGGACAGTTTAATTTTAATTTAAACGGTCATTCCGACTGAAAATTAAATCCGATTAAAGGGGGTGGTTTATTCAGTTTGTCATTCCGAATGAAAGAATTTTGTCTGCATGTAAACGCTCATTCCTCTTTAAGTTCATTCCGGTCTTTCTGCTCATGCTCTTTTCCTTGCCCTTCTGGCGCCATGACGTATATAGCGCGCATAGCAACGGGCTGAGATAGAGCAGTCGGACTCGTTGCACTCACCGGTTTCCATTCTCCACAGCACTGTCTTCTATCTCCCTTCTTCGACCTTCTACCTCCCTTCTCCTCCTCAACAGACTAAGCATTAGCAGAACAAGGTTGCTGTCGTACTGCTGCTTCAAGAATATAAGCAAAACAAGCCTGAAAAAGGCACTAAGAACGGCATCATCAAGCATCTTGTTATCCGGAGCGAGTCAATGTGTTGTTTTTTCTGGTAAACGTAAACACGTAACATCCGCCCCGCCCCCTATCCAATCAGAAACCTTCCCTGCCCCAAACCTTGTGCAGACCCAAATAAAGGCGATAAAAAGGCGATTAAACTGATCTCCCGTGTAAACCCTCATTCAGAATGAATATTTCCCATGTAAACTACCTGGAAAGACTTTAATTCTGAATGATTTCATTCAGATTTATTTCATTCTGAATGAGAAGCCATCCTGTAACCATAGCCAGTGACGGCCAAACGAAGCCTTGGGAACCATTTTGTTTATTTTCTGAGCCCTCTCGATTGTGTTCTTGATTTTCACAAAAAAATACTCAAGAAGTGGCAATTCTGCTTGCTTTCAGCCTTTTGTTAAACAGAGTGCTGTCTAGACAGCTCCGAAAATAAAGAAAGAGGTTCCCTAGGCTTCACTTGGCCATCACTACCTGCACTCACCAACTCCAGCAACACAGATGGATCCCACTTTATTTGGAAGCAGGCCTGCAACGATTCATCCTGCAGTTACATTTTTTCATCAGTGCCACCGTTCACCTCTCCCCCACAATGCTCTGCTGCTCTCCATCTTTATCATACAGTCTATGGTTGCAAGCATGTAGCTCCATTTTTTTCCTTCTAATCTTTGAGTGAAAAGACTCTGTGATGAGTTGTCTAGAGGCAGCTAACTGTGCTAACTCCATAAACAGCACTAAACTATGGCAACAGTGCTGCAAAAGCTAAGTGTGTAACCGGCAAACCAAAGGGTGGGTGCTGCAGCGGTAACCACAAGAAAATTCATTTTGGGACTTATGGATTTTTAGATAAATTTTTATTGTCTCCAAAGGGGAGATGGCAACATAAAACATAAATACATTTGTACAGAAAACACTGTGCCTGAGATTTAGCACTGCTACAGTTTGGCAGAAGTGGCAAACAATGTGAAAGAAACCCCATACAATCACAGTAATAACCAGCCCAGCACTTCATTCTTGTATTTTCAACCTTCATTCATGCTAACTGCATGGATAAATAAATTAACTTTGTGATTTAACTCTTCCCACGTCCACCAAACAGTCTTCAAATTATTCAACATTCAAGTCAACATTGTCACAGGAATCTACAGAACACCACCCCTTGGATGCGCACACACTGAAACCATGCTTGGAATGATCTGATGGCTCCACCTCAACGTCTTGTCATTCCTTGCATGTGTCCATCAGACATTATAAAGTAGGCAGCAACAGCAAAATGCCTTTTAAAAACCACCAGGCATCAGGTGCCAACTATCCTGCAGGTGCATGGTACTTTCTGTAGATGTCCTGTCACGTCTGAGGAAAGCATATATTCACAACATAATTTCCCTAATAATAATAATTTGATGAAGCCAGCGATGTCACATGTTCCCTCTCTAAAAAAAGTATTTCAGTGTCCCATGAAGAAGCGCTGTGCACACACCTTGCTACACCAACAAAACCGGTCCCATTAGTGCATTATCAGAGGTCTGGCAGCCAAGGGCTTCATTGTTTACACAGTCAGGGCATGTCGCCATCAGTGTCAGGAAACCTTGATTTTAATTTCACCGTATTCTTCATGAAAACTTGACATTGCAACAAACCAATCACGCAGGTATATCTGATGGCAGTAACTCAATAGCTGTGTATGCAGTATGTCGTTGGACGTGATACCAGAGTCATACTGACACACCCAAATGGAACACAGCCATTATCAGTGTTATCAGTCACATCTGCTGTGTATGACAAGTCTTTTTGTTTACTTCATTTTTTATATTTTCTTCAAACATAAAAACATCACAAAGTCAAAAGAGCTGACTGACTCAGGTCCTTCTGTGTGGAGTTTGCATGTTCTCCCCGTGTCAGCCTCCTTCCACAATTCAGAAACATGCAGCTTAGGTTAACTGTTGACTCTGAGTTAACTACAGGTGTGAAAGCAGGTGTGAATGGTGGTGTGTCTGCCCTGTGATGGCGTACCCCGCCTCTGGCCCGGTGTCAGCAGCTTCACGACCCTGTAAAAGAACGGCAGCCACAAGCCAATGAGTCAAAGAACTGAGGCAACCAGTGTGAGCAGAGCCAGGGAGCCATACTTGTTAGAGACAATATATTTTTATTGCTTTGTGTTATTAACAGATAATAAATATATGGCCCTGATATTGCACCTGTTTGTAGACGTGATGGGTGGTTTGCTATGGTAGGCTACTTTCCATATGTTAGACAGTTGAGTAAATGATTGACAAAAAAATATTGCACCTGTTTGTAGACATGACGGATTGCTCCAGGGATGACAATTTTTTTGTCTAGGCTGGCACGGAAGTTAGTGTTGCCCTGGTTCCCTTGTCAAAAAGTCTCTGGGATCTTTTTTCAGTTGGATTTTGGATTATTACAGAAAATAAGCTGTGTGACGAATAAATGTTTTTGATACTTGCATGGTTTGTTCACAAATGAACACCACTTTCATGATTTTGAAGCCTAATGCAATCAGCAGAAGTAAAAAGTTAAAGTTACAATGTGTAATTTACGTGGTTGTTTATTAGCAAATATCAACTATTGCTTTCATAAATATATATTTACTAAAGTGTAATGCAATTCACATACAAATGGAAGCTTTCTCATAGGCTTAGAATGATTTCTCTATATATACACAGGCAGGGCGTGGTCTGCTGGAGGCTGCCCTCTTGCATCGCCATATTTGAATACAGTGGCTGAAAGGGATATACGCGCTTTGCCTTTCGCGTTTACCTAGAACTTGCCGTCACTGGATATGGTTAAGGTGAAGATCAATTTGGGGCGCTTCTGCGTGAACCTGCTTTGTACTTTTATGATTCTGTCGCACTTTAAATGGAGGACCACACATATGTTTTGCCCCGTAAGAGGGAAACCACGCCACCAAATAATAGATGAAGATCAGATAAGCGAGGACGGGACAAAACGCAAGTGAATATCGGCGTTGCTTATTCCATGTGGAAAGAACTCCTGAAGGAGAAGGATTTCACAAGGGATGCAGAGGTTGCCTGCTTTCTGCTAGACAGGTAATTCAATCTGATATTTTAAAATCATTTTGGCTTCATGTTTGCAACTACTTTTCCCTCTCGGCTAAGTTCGAGTAACGGTTACGTTTACGTGCTAACGTTATCCTAGCCTTGGCTAACGTCATCCCAGAGCTACAGCTACATGAGCTGAGAGCGGCCTCTTCCATTGGACATTTTTAAAAAGCAGTTAAAAACACATCTGTTTAGGCATGCGTTCCATTAATTGTCCATTGTATCATCTCTGTATTTCGCTGCACTTTACTTTTTATTTGTTTTTGTGTATTTTGCATTGTTTCTGTTATTGTATTTTTTGTATTTTATCTAGTGAAGCACTTTGTGAGTCCTCTAAAATTTACTTACTTACTTACTTACAGCTAAATGGTTAGCTTAGCCTACAGCCTAATCTGTTGATTCCTCTTGCGCTGCTGCGAAGGCTGCCACCCTCTCCTCCTCCTCCTCTTCCCTCTGGGTAGCCGAGACAAACCTCTTCGCCTGGCTGTTCCTGCACCGCCTCTACCCCCTCGCCCTCTTCCTCTCCCTGGTCTTCCTCCTCTCTCTCTCCCTCTTCCTCATCTCCCTGTGTCCTGTGGAAGAACACTCTGGAAACACATATATTATAATTGTACCAACCTATATTTGCCACACTGTGTCGTGACTATCACATAAAATGTGTTATTTTAGCATTACTGTGTTAATGCTGGTGTTACCAAAACAATTAGAGATAAAACACTCCTAACATGTATCTCACAGATAACCTGTATCTCACTGGTAAGCTATAACATATTGTAACATGGTTTAGATTCCTAAATAAATATTCACCTCGTCGCTAAATACTCCTGAAAAACTCTGCTGTCTGCGCAAGGCTTTTTGTCCTACGAGGCCACCATCACTTACCTGATGGGAGGGGTGAGTGAGGGAGCGCGAGTGAGCGCTGCAATCTAGAATTTGACCGCTGATGTCACTGTTACTCACCATTTTTACACACTGAGGCTTTAACATTAGGCTATAAACAAAGTACACCAGACTTGCATGACTTCAAGGTCGCCAACACAACGAGGCTGTAAAGTGTGTTTGAGGTGATGATGTTTGTCGTCTCATTTAGCCACTTATTAGCAACTGCCTTTTTAAAGACACAATAAAGCTTCAGAATTCACTAGTTGGGTACTTACTGATGTATTTTATGTTATACAACAAAATGTGAAACACTCTTAAGCTTGTGTTAACCACAGACCTTTTTTAGGCATCTACTGTAATTAAAAGTCCATTGACTCTAAGACGAGGGAACCAGGAGTGCTAATGCTAACTTGTTTCCGGGTTTTAGGACTCATTCCTGGTGCACACTGTGGATGGTTTGCTACAGTAGGCTACTTTTCATATGTTAAACGGTTTAAATTATGTACTGATGGACAAAATAACAGATTGTACACCAGGACTTAATTCTACACAACCAAAGCTGAAGTTCACAACAACTTAAACATGAACACATTTAAATGCTCAATAAATATGGCTAATAAAAGGCAAAATCAAGTGCAAATGATTTTTTCCAATGCTCTCTTAAAGGGACAGTTCACCCCCAAATCAAAAATATGTCTTTTTCCTCTTTGCTGTGGTGCTATTTATCAGTCTGGATTGTTGGTGTGAGTTACAGTGTTGGAGATATCAGTGACAGATGCCTACAGAAGGAAGTGTGCTTCTCCTGCTAGCTCACCTAGCACCACAGAACAAGCCCACATCACTAGTGTTGGGCAAAGCAGTTCTTTAGATGTTACTGAATCACTAGAATCAGTTCATTAAAAAGATTCGTTCACTGAGCGGCTGAGCTGCTGCAGCATAACTGTTTTATCATTTGTTTATCTGGAAACTAACTCTGTTAAAACAATGGGGAGGTATGTGGTCTCCTCCTGGCTACATTAGCCGTTAGCTTGGAGAAAACGGTCCCTATGAAAGTGTATCGCTGAGAAGAAATGATCTGAATCACTCAGGGATTGGGGTTACGTCATTCACCGAGTGATTCGTTCATCGAGTGATTCTTCACGCGGTAGGCAGTCCATCCCTGCACCCTGGCTGCCTCCCGACTCACGAGTGATTTATTGTTCGCACAGAACTAATCGGTAGTTCCACTCCCGGCCTGCACTCTTGCTGCTGAGCTCAACTGAACTGAGAAATGAAACAATCAGTTCCGGAGGTGATTCAGTTTAGTATGTTCACTCAACAGATTCATTTTTTTGAACGATTCGTTCGTGAACAACACAGCACTACACATCACATCCAGGCCCCAGGAAAGAAGTCCAGCCTTGCAGTGAATTATTTCCCCAGTGGCCACTAGCAATATTGCAGCGAAAACATCTCCTGCAGCCCAAAGAAGCATTTTCCCCATAGGCAATCATTGTAAAAGAGACATCTGTAAAGTTGTTGACAGAACCTGAACAGCAAACAAGGTCAGTTATGATTTTTGAACCATGGTGGTTTTGTATTCCCCAAACTTTGCTCAACCAAGAAAAGCAATTTGAAACTCTGTGACATGATCACAATGTAAAGTCTATGAGCAGAGCAGGAACTTGTGGGCGGGGCCAGAAGGAGAAACACTGCTGTGCATATTCAGTGGGCCACATGGCATGAAAGTAAACCTGGAAGCTAGAGAACTTTTTTGGCGTAGCGCCAGGTTAGCAACTCCACTGGAATGACGGGGCGCCATCCTGGTGGCCAACATGTTTATTTCTAAAATCTGTGATTACAGCTCAGCGGAGGAGGATGCCATTAATGTCTACATCTAGCACTGTCACGAACATGGGCCTCTCGCCCATGAGTAGATGCACAGTTCCTTCTGCACAGTGGTAAAAAGAAGATAGTCCCTACGTGAAACTGCTCACAACAGTGTTTGTGGTTTATTTTGAGTGACCATGTTTCCTGGAAAGAGACTTTGCTGTTGAGTTAAGAGGAAAAATATGTGTTTTTGTTTTGTAGATGAACCGTCCTTTTAAAGTTAGAGCAGGGGTCTACTCAGCTCTGTTCATGTTCATGCAGTTGAGAGAGAAACAAAACTTACATTTAAAATCCTTTAAAGAAAACAATTTTCTTCTTCTGGTACAGTTGCTGAATAATATTATATTCATGCATTCCTGCATGAGGTCCAGTTTTCCAGTTTTTGTTTTTGAGGATTTCAAAGTAATGGTTCCAGTTTCCATTTCTATCTGCTCCAAACCCAAAGACGCTGACCTGGGAAAACAAAAAATTAAACCATGAACCCTGCTGGATTTAACTTGAATTATTGTTGCCACTAAACTTTTTTAAATGTAGACCTTATTATTTAAATAAACGCTTCATTTTGCTGTCTTTAACCTTAAATTAATACTTTGGCATTTTGGAAAGTTCATCCTTATTCTCTTAAGAAGATGATCCACACCACTCTGGTGTTGGTATGATAAATGAATCTGGAGCCAGAAGACAGTTAGCTTAGCAGGAAAGACAGGCAGCAGGAATATTAGTAGTGTGGCAAAATAAATATTTACAGTCTTATATTAGTACAAACACAGGACACAGTTTGTGAGTTGGTGTCATGTAAGCACTGAGAGGCTAATTCTGTTACTCCAGAACCAGGCTAGCTGTTTCCCCAGTCCTCACTCTAATTTACGCTAACTGGATCCTCGAATGTTGAACTTTTGCTCATTTCTTGTATTGTATTTCTATGTTTCATTTTTTCATTGCTGGCGCATCATTGTTTCTAGGTGCACTGTTGCCACTAGCTGTAAGTGAAACAGCATGAAATTGTCGTTATGATGTGTAATTATAAACTCACCTCATCACAAATCTGCAGGCTGAGAACCAGAGTGAGAAATCCAGTGGATGGATGGCTGCCCCTCTTTCCCAGCCACATTTCATAAACATATCTCATGAAAGCAGGATTGAGGATCATCACCTGATGTGAATCAGATTTGGCCTTTAAACTGACATTCATAAACCATTCCTTACTGCAGTCAATGCACAATACAACACAATGTATTAATGGATGATGTATTAAATATGTCAGTGCCATGCAAAATCATCTAGAATACTCACCAGATCCTTGTTAGCTATCCTCTTCACAGAACTGTCGTCCCTGTTGGAGATAAAATGAACTGATTACCAAGTATTTTGCAGTATTCATACAGGCCATTGCAACACCTATAATCAATAACTGGGTAGGTATTAATAAATATGATGAACAATGTGAAGCCAGTATAAGCTTCCGTCCTACATGTTTTCACACCTCATGTGTCAGTAAAGCTTGTGTTTTTTGTTATCTAGTTCCTACATGCATGACTGTATTGTATCAGACCTAGTAGCATAAGGACTCAGGGGCCCCTATGAGTGTTTCTGTCCTGTCCTCAGTTTATGTATGGCATCCAGTCATGGACTGGCTTGGCTTGGTTTGGTCTGGTTTGACCCTTGAGCCCAGCGCGGCAGGGATTTGTGACTCCATCACAACAGGGCTACACACTTAAAGGTATGTCTTTAACTGATGACAGCTTGTCTCAAATGATGAAGTGTGAAAGCAGCCAGCTGATCCACAGCTTAAGTCCCCCATTATTTTTAGCTTGAAGTGTCTCTCCATCACACAGGATGGCAGGTAAAAGAAGTTTTTGTATTGAAGGTGGGCTGTTTGTAGAGGTGAGGTAGGAGCCTGTGGCTGTTTCTGCTTTTACTCTTCCTCCCTGCTGTATGAGTAGATTTTTTTTCATTAAAGAAAAGCCGCTGACAAAGTTCCACTAATTAGGTGCTGAACACATTTCCTACTGATTCTTTACAATAAAAGTCCCTTAACACTTAACTCATACGACTGAAAGTGAACATGAAACAGTAAAATAAAGCCTATATTCCACCCATCCATCCATTTTCATGCTCTTTTCCGGGGCCGGGTCGCAGGGGCAGCAGGCCGAGCAAAGCACCCCAGACGTCCCTCTCTCCGGCAACGCTTTCCAGCTCCTCCTGGAGGACCCCAAGGTGTTCCCAGGCCAGATGAGATATATAATCCCTCCAGCGTTTTCTGGGTCTGCCTTGGGGCCAGTGGGACGTGCCCAGGACACCTCCAGCGGGAGGCGCCCAGGAAGCATCCTACTCAGATGCCCGAACCACCTCAACTGACCCCTTTCAATGCGAAGGAGCAGTGGCTCTACTCCGAGCTCCCTCCATATGTCTGAGCTCCTCACCCTATCTCAAAGGCTGAGCCCAGGCACCCCACAGAGGAAACTCATTTCCACCGCTTGTATCCGTGATCTCATTCTTTCAGTCACTACACCGACTTCATGACCATAGGTGAGGGTTGGGACATAGATGGACCAGTAAATCAAAAGCTTTGCTTTCCAGCTCAGCTCCCTCTTCACCACGACGGACCGGATGCAGATATCTAAAGTAAAAACAGGACGCAGGAGAGAAACTGAACTCCAAACCACAGAGATTCAATTAAAGCTGCAGACGTACAGAGAGCTGAACACACAGAGACTTTTAAAAACGCCTTTCTCTCTGGTCTCCTGCAGACAGAGGTGAGTTCAGTGTCACAACACACATGGTTGTTTCAGGGAGAGAAAGGGGGATCGTCGGTAGTTGGCTGTTGTCACCAAGACATCACCCCTACCCATTTGGAGGCAGGCAGGCACCCTTTTGGCCCTACCCCAGAGATCAGCCATCTCTGGCACAGCACGCAATGCTCAGCTCAGCGTGTTAAAACTGACAAAGGAAATGCAATATGCACGGCATGTTTTGACTCAGCGCGACCAAGAGTGACAATGGAGAAGGCCCAACGATGGCTCAGAACTCTTGGCAATATGAGCCCTTCAACTCTGTGGGGAGAAACAGCCCTGCTGGAGGTGCCTCATTGTATCATGATCTGCCCATGCCTGTAGAAACTATGGCACTGTGGGTTTCGATTGTCTGTCTGGTTTATCACAAATTACTAACACATACTCTCAAATTACTGTCAAGGTGATGTGACAATAGGGGGAGATCCCACAGTGTTAGCAGCAAGCATATCATTACATCATATCGGTTACCGATATGATGGAGCTGCTTTGATTTACACACATGTTAGAATGTAAACAATATGGATTAACACTGCTCTAATCAATATGTTCATATTAACATCCAACATATTCACCATATTAACTTTATAAGGTGATAACGTGTGAATCTCATTAATTCAAAGGCGTAAGTACTAGAAAGCCAGGAGATTGCTGTCACTCCCTCACACCAACCACCTCCTCCTCTTGGCTAGCTCTCTGTTAGTCAATCTGAGGGCAGTGTAACAGCTGAGCTACAACTAAATTGCGGTAAAATTAAAATTTCAATTGCTCAGAGAAGCAACTTTTGCTCATTGTAACAACCATCTTTCTGTACACTACAGCAAAGAACTCCAGACACCCCTCTGCCCTGCAACGTTTTCCAGCTCCTCCTGGGGGATCCCTGAGGGTTTCCCAGGCCAGACGAGATATAAAATCCCTCCAGCCTCCTACCAGTGGGACGTGGTCAGAACACCTCTAACGGGAGGCACCCAGGAGGCATGCCTGAACCACCTTTACTGACCCCTTTCAAAACAAAGGAGCAGCGGCTCTAATCCGAGCTCCCTCCGGATGTCCAAACTCCTTATTCTGTCTCTAAGGCTGAGCCCAGCCACCCCATGGAGGAAACTCATTTTCACCACTTGCATCTGCGACCTCATTCTTTCGTTCATTACCCAGAGCTCATGACCATAGGTGAGGTTTGGAACATAGATGGACTAGTAAATTGAAAGCGCTGGCATCACAGCACATGCTGCGCCAAACCGCTGATTCATCTCACGTTCCATTCTACCCTCACTCGTGAGAAAGACCCAGAGATACTTGAACTCCTTCGCTTGAGGCAGCAACTCTCCCCCAACCCAGAGGGGGCAATCCACTGGTTTCCAGCAGAGATCCATGGCCTCAGACTTGGAGGTGCTGACTCTCATCCCCAGTGCATGCTGGAGGGCTATGATGTAGCCAACAGAACCACATCATCTGCAGAGATACCAATTCTGAGGTCACCAAACCCCTTCCTCCCCCAGCTGTACCTTGAGATCCTGACCATGAACATCACAAACAGAATCGGAGACAAGGGACAACCCTGGTGGAGGCTAACACCGACTGCAAACATGTTTGACTTTGTGCCAAGTATGTGAATACAGCTCTCACTTTGGTTATACAAGGACTGCATGGCTTGTGGCAACAACCCCGGTACCCTGTATTGTTGTAGTACCCCCCACAAGACTCCCTGTGGGACACGGTTGCCTTCTCCAAGTCCTTACAGCACATGTAGACTGGATGAACAAACTCCCATGACCCCTCCAGCAGTCCTGCAGGGGTAAAGTGCCGGTCCACTGTTCCACGACCAGGACAGAATCTACATTGCTTCTCGTTGTTATTGAGTCATTTGCCGAAGTTTGTGGCAATTAAAGAACGGTCTGTAGCCCTGCCACTGTCACTGTGATGAGCATCATTATCATTATTATCATCATCATTATTATCACTATTATTAAATCCACTCGCCATCATTCAGCAAGTCAGCTGCTGAGTGAATAAGACATATCAGACCTGTCAGTCTACCTCAATCAATTCAATTGTATTTATAAAGCCCAATATCACAAATCACAATTTGCCTCACAGGGCTTTACAGCATACGACATCCCTCTGTCCTTTGGACCCTCGCAGCGGATAAGGAAAAACTCCCCAAAAAAAACCCTTTAACAGGGAAAAAAACCGGTAGAAAGCTCAGGAAGAGCAACTGAGGAGGGATCCCTCTTCCAGGACGGACAGACGTGCAATAGATGTCGTACAGAACAGATCAGCATAATAACAGTAATCCGTATGACACAATGAGACAGAAAGAGAGACAGAGAGAAAGACAGAGAGAGAGAGACAGAGAGAGAGACAGAGAGACAGACAGAGAGAGAGAGAGAGACAGAGAGAGAGATGCAGGACAGACGGTAATGACAGTAGCTTACAACAACATTAATGAAAGTAATAATAATAATTAATATTAATATTACCTACAGCCTATTAAACATTATTCCACTCACATGACATGCAGGACAGTTAATGATGGGCAAATGTGTTTGTGTATGTGTGTGTGCGTGGTGTTATATCACTCGAGCAGCTGCACATTTAACAGCCACGCATCACAGACAGTCCGCTGAACACCGCAACGGGTTGTGAATGAAATAAACTTAATTACAACATGACAGTCTTGCATGAAATATCATTAACGTTACTCTTTGTAGTCACGTAGGCATGTGAATTACAGCGTTTCATTGCAAAGAATGCATGTAACGGCTACACTTGCGCTGTTTCTCCGCCATCTCGTTCAAATGAGACAGACGAAGGGGGTGGGTATTTATACGTCATGGCCTCAAGCTGAAAAAGACTTCCTGTTAGGAACCTCTCGTGTTACCTTACTCATCGCACCTAACAGATCCCTCCTAACGCCTAACGCTAACTCCTTACTGGCAGGAATAAGAGACATGAGACGGCCTTAAAGATGGCAGAGCTCGAATGACTTCCGGATCAAGTAAGGAGTTAGGAGTTAGCAGTATAAAATAAGAGACTTGGGACGTACCCCTAAATGTTTTCTGATACCAAGAACACTTATGAACCTCTTTATGCTCAAACATGGTGCTTGTTGTGCTGAATCCATGACTAGCACAGAAGTCAAATAACATCACACCACTCAGGTTCAGATCAGGCAGGCAGTTCCTCCCAATCAACTCCTTCACACTTCCTCATAGATGTTACTTAGTCATCAAAATGGAGATTTCACACAAACAGATCTATTCAATTATTTTACCTACTACCTACGTAGGTTTTTCATTCAGTCACAGATTTGTCTACAGGTAGCAACTCTTTGTCACACACCCACCCTGGATCGAATTTCTTGAGGAGCCACAGTAGATCGCTCATCTTGAATGAAAACATCACAAGATGAGTAGTGTTGTCCAAACTAACAGCACTCTCTGGATACATTACATGATGAGTTGTTTTGGTCCCAACATCTGTTTCGTAGCCTTTAGTAGTGCCATGGTTCATTCTGAAAGATACAAGGGAATACATGTATTTAATATCATGTAGTTACTGTAAAGAACAATGATGTGGTGATTGGTGTTCACAGTCTTTGGGAATCCTGAATGATGCTCACCCTCTACTGATTATGAATTTGTTAAGTCCAGTTCAGACCAAAGATTCGCTACGAGGCAGAACCGTTTTAGAACGTTACAGATAAAAGTTGCAGTGGTGTGAACTGGCCGGTCTGAGCTCGGTTCAAATTAGTCACTTCTACAAATGGAACTGTAGCCAGTTGTAGCTTCACTGTCACTATCCTCATTCATATTTCTAAGAAGCTACAAATTATACTCAGCCACAAAATAAGTCTGAAAAGGTGCAAATCAGAACGGAAGTACAGAGAGTTGTTGCACAGAGGTGATACACCATCTCAACCAGTTGCACTGGTGTGAACCAGCAGATTTTAGAATTTGTCTTTGTGTCAACATCAGTGTTCAAATGTCAGTAATGACTTACCTTATTACAATATCATGCATATCTATGCGAGGTCCATAGTGTGATCCTATCAAATTCCCAGAGTTGCCCACCACAGCACAAGTCCTGCAGCGGACAGGGCCGGGTTTTACAACATCTGGAATGGATGGGAAGATTTTAAACAGGTTGTCCACTGTTGTTTTGTAGAAATTGATGTTGTGTCCATCCGACCTTAAGCGCTGACAGACATAACAGAAAAAGACCGTTATTCCAGCATCAGTTTACAATTTAATCACATATCAGAGCTGTGGGGTTTAAAACTATAATCCTCAAGATTCTCCTGAAATCAAACATTGTTTTTCACACTATTGACACATTTCTTTCTAGTGTATTTACATTCTTTAAAGAGACAACAGACAGCATCGTTTCCTAAATATGTCATGATGAAAATAATGTGGGTTGCACAGGGTAGTGTCCACAGTAAAATCAGACTATCAGCGTTTACATAGGTTACTTAGTGGCTTTGCAATCTTTGCAATAAGCTTCTGCCACCGGTGCCCAAATTTCGCGGAAAAAATCTGCTTTACAGCAGGAAATGTGTCATGTATTGCGAAATTGGTCGGTCAGCCAATCAGGGACTGGAGCTGGTCCTTATGAGGAGCTGGGCATGAGAGCACAATGGCAGACGGACAAAGTTTGGAGATAAGTGAAAAAAGAAAAGCCGAAAAGGAGAAAGAAAAGGAGCTCCTCTGTGTGAGGAGGCAAAGAAGAGCAAAAAGGAGAGTGATAAAAGAAGAGGAAAAACAAGAGTAAACCTCAGTCAGGCGTTCAAGAGATGGAGGGAGCTCCGTGACCAAAGAGGCTTCAAAACCCATGTCCAGCTAGCTTTCTTTCTAATGGATCAGTAAGTAACACGGCTAAATGTTAGCTAGACCAGAGAGGACTGTACTGTACTGGCTGCTAGTTCATTCCTAGCTGGCCAGCATCGCAAAT